GAAAAACTCGCTGGGTAGCGTAGTCGAGACCCTGAAAATTCACGGAACGGAAGCGGAATGGAGAGGAGATCTCCGATCGTTTCGTTGCTTCGTTCGCGCGATACGTTTCATCGATGGAAGTTAAGAAAGATAGAAGCACTAGAGAAACACACACACACACACACGATCGAACACGTACGTGTTCCGAACACGTACACTTACTGTTCACGATAATACGATTTATATTTCTATCCTAAGCAACTTCTAATCTTTAGGCCTGTAATAATAGCGAGTTTATAGGCTGGCCGGAGAAAACTAGCCGCGATATTGCTCGGTTTCACTAGGTGGATAACACTTTCAGCTGAGCAGCATTTTAATGAATTTTAAAGCGTTTCCTAACGAGGCTACCGCGCCGTTCGTGGAAATTATAAATCACCGCGATTAATTCGAACGTTCTAAATACGAATCACCATTTCTTTTCCAACGAGGCGTGCAAATTTTCCTATTACCGTGACCGCAGATCCGTGGCAATTTTTATGCAACCGGCTTACGCGTCTATATATAGCGCATATTTAATTGAATAATGGAGTTGCACGCGCGACTCTGCATATTTTATCCACGCGTGCGTACCAGCCGAGATATGTAATAACGGATGACACAAGAAACGAGAATTTATGCCTTCTTTCACGGTGGAAGAAAGCACGCTGCCTGCTCTCCGAACATGCTCCTTTTCCTGGGATTTTTACCTTCGCCTATTGTGGCCACGCAAGAAATACGACGGTAATCCTTTGCCACTCACAAAAAGGTTTTGTGTATCTTTCCAGCTTCCGCCTTCGAATATGCTCCTTCCACTCGGGAAATCTCGTTTTCTCCACGCCTCCTTTTTCCGGTTCGTAACCAGAGGAATCATTTCCCTCGATAGAGTAGCGTCAGGTAAACAACGCAACGCGACCTTTCACGTCGCGACAGGCCGGTGTGTTTTATCATCGAGAATCTCGGTACCTTTGCACGACTTCGTACGAAAGAAACGTTTCGTGAAAAACCCAGCGAGGGAGAGATGTCTTCGATGAAAGACGATCTTCTCTGGAAATGTCGCGATTTCGTCGGTTCGTTGACTTCTCTCGAACACGTTCAAATCCATCTGACCTGGTTTCATCCCTCTGGATAACGACGAGAGATTAAATCGACGCTCGATATTACACCCGCGAATGAAATTATACTTGGACAAGTTGAAAGAAAGGGAGAGAACGGGGGAGAGACAGAGAGACAGGGGATGTTCATTGGCTCGTATTCTCGCAAGCTTCCTCGTTCTATCGACTATGAAGCGTGTTTTCACGCTTGGAAAAACCTTCTCGTTTAGCCGAGTGTGAAAAAGGGCAGCACGTCGCTTCGTCCCTCCTATACACGATTTTACGTTTATTAATACACCCCTCGTTAACAACCACCTGATGATCTCGCGAACGTAGCGGAAGGCGCGAGAGTGTGACACTTTAAACGACAAACTTCGCCCTGGCAAACGGTAACAGTTCTCCGAAAACGCGCGTTCTCTCTTTATCGTACGAAAACGATCGGATTAATTCACCGCACGTGCGAGATCCAGATTAGAATCGCGATCAATTTAACATTCCGATGATGTTCGAACGTCTGCTGTCAGAAAAGTGGAAAACGTTGTACGCGTGCCAATTAGCGCGAGTCTGTCTTGTGTAATTACATGTATGTGTAACGGACAATTACTCGTTCGAACACATCCTGCTCACCGGTCAGCAGCCGAACGAAACTCAATTACCAGTATTGCCGGCAATTAAAACGGAAGAAATCGAGAAACGTTGAATATAATAATAGAGAGGGGCGGGGAATGATAGAAAACAGGCGAGAGCTGATCTCATGGGGAAAATTGGATCGTGAATCGAAACTGTTGAAGATCGTTGCGCTTATGATATTACCACGCCTACGCTGCTTTCATACGAAAGCTGTGAGAGTTCTTTTTACGTTACGCGTTGCTTCGGTTCGTTCCGACTGTAATTCCTTTCTTTGGAGATCGAGAAACCCCGTTACCGTTACTCGAAAATGCTTAGAAAATATTTGTACGGCCTGGTTTTGTGACACCGAAACGGCTAAATAGTAGGCTGCATTTCACATAGACCGAATGGGACTCATCGTTGTACCTTTCGTCTTCGACAGCTCTCCCTTCTCTCCCTCTTCTTTTCTATGTTTTCCCTCTCTCACACGTGTTTTTGATTATTTTCCAAGAGAAAAAAGACGTGGTACAAGCCTTTCGTCTTCCCTCTCTCGGAAGATTTTTTGATTATTTTCCAAGAGAAAAAAAAAACGCGATACAATGTATCGATTTGATAGAAGATTCGAATGAAATGGTAGGCTGCATTTCACCGAATTGGGACTCTTCTTTGTACCTTTCGTCTTCTACAGCTCTCCCTTCTCTCTCTGTTTCTTTAATTTACCTCAGAGATTTTCGTTATTTTCCACGTAAAAAAGGACGTGATACAGTCTATCGATGTGATAGAAGATTCGAATGAAATAGTAGGCTCTCTAATGAATCGAGACTCTCCCCTGCACCTTTCGTCTTCGACAGCTCTCCCGTCTCTCCCTCTTTTCTTCTAATTTCCCTCTCTCAGAGGATTATTCATTACTTTCCAAGAGAAAAAAAGACGCGATACCGAACGAATGATCGAAGTTGAAACACGGATAGTGTGCTTTAGGGACCAGTAAATTCTCTCGGATCGCGCGTAAAAATGCGAGTAACGTAATAGCTTATGCCTGTAACCGAGCGTTGCAAAAGTTGACCAGAGTCTGGTTGTGCAAACTGTGCTGCGAGGAGAGATGCGTAAGTACGATTTTATGCTAACAATAAGTGGAAAGGGTTATGTAGCATCGGTTGGAGAGCACGCACAGTAGATGCTATCGAAACAATTTCCTCGTCGTGTGTCGGCGCGATATTTGCACACCGCCAACCAGCTAGCCTCCTAGGAAACGTAAATTATTCATTAAACTCCACGTACGAAATGTAGTCACGTTCTCGTTTCGTTTTAACGTTAATTCTTTCAACGATTTGCGCTTAACCACCTCTCCCTCTACCTTCACAAACCTTTTTTTCTTTCAGTTTTCATTCAGCATACGTGTATTCTTCCCCTTCTCGATCATCGATGCACACAAAGGGGAAACGCGTGCATTGAAACACTTTCGCGGGCGTACATCGCACCTTTCACTTGAAATTAGATTAA